TATATTTTCGATGAAGTTCTTCATCAGATTTATATTTTATAAATATTTTGTTCCAGTCTGTGGCTTGTCTTTTCATTTTCTTAGCAGTCTCTTTCACAGAGCAGAAGTTTTTGATTTTAATAAAGTCCAATTTATCCATTGTTTTTTTCATGGATTGTGCTTTTTGTGTCACCCCTAAAAACTCATCACCAAACCCAAGGCCACCTAGATTTTCTCTTCTGTTATCTTCTGGAAGTTGTATAATTTTGCATGTTACTTTAGGTCTATAATCCATTTTGAGTTAATTTTTGTAAAAGGTGCAAAGTCTGTGTCTAGACTCATATTTTTGCAGGTGACGTCCAGTTGTTCCAGCATCATTTGATGAAAATACTACCCTGTCTCCACTGAATTGCCTTTGCTCTTTTCTCGAAGATCAGTTGACTACAGTCGTGTGAGTCTATTTCTGGGCTCTCTATTGTGTCCTATTGATCTATTTGTCTATCTTTTGCCAACACCACACTGTCTTGATCACTGTAGCTTTATACTAAGTCTTGAAATCAGGTAGTGTCAGTCCTTCAACTTTATTCTTCTTCACATTATATTGGTTACTCTGGGCCTTCTGCCTCTCCAAATAAAGTTTAGAACCAATTTATCAATATTCACAAAATAATTTGTTGGAATTTTGATTAGGATTGTGTTAAATCTATAGATCAATTTATAAGATTAAGTCCTCCTATTCAAGAACATAGAATACCTCTCCATTTATTTAGATCTTTTTCGATTTCTTTCATCAGAGTTTTGCAGTTTTCCCCATGTAGATCTTGTACATATTTCTTTAGATTTATACCTAAGTTTACCAGTTTTTTGTGCTAAGGTAAATGAAGCTGTGTTTTTAATTTCAAAATCCAATAGTTCACTGTTGATATAGGAAATCAATTGACTTTTAACCTTGTATCCTGCAACCTTGGGTACGAATCAGTTAACCTTGTATCCTGCCACCTTGCAATAATTGCTCGTTAGATTTCAGAGTTTTTTGTTTGTTTGTTTTGTTAATTCTCTGGAATTTTCTATGTAGACAATCATGTCATCTATGAATAAAGACTGTTTTATTTCTTCTTTCTCAGTCTGTATACCTTTTATTACCTCTTCCATTCTTATTGCATTAGCTAAGACTTCCAGTACAATGTTGAATGGGAGCGGTGAGAGGGGACATCCTTACCTTGTTCCCAATCTTAGGGGTAAAGCATGCAATTTCTCACAATTAAGTGTGATGTGAGCTATAGCCTTTTTGTAGGTGCTCTTTGTCAAGTGGAGGAAGTTCCTCTCTATTCCTAGTTCACTGAGAGTTTGTATCATGAACGCATGTTGGATTTTGTCAAATGCTTTTTCTGTATCTGTTGATATGATCATATGATTTTTCTTATGTAACCTGTTGATATGATGGATGTCTTAGTTATCTAGTGGGGCTATAACAGAAATACCACAAATGGGTGGCATTAACCAATAGAAATTTATTCTGTCACAGTGTAGGAGGCTAGCAGTCTGAATTCAGGGTGCCGGCTCTACGGGAAGGCTTTCTCTCTCTGTCAGTTCTACAGGAAGGTCTTTGTCATCAATCTTCCCGTGGGTCTCAGAGTTTCTCAGCACAGGGACCCCGGGGTCCAAAGGACACATTCCGCTCCTTGCTCTTCTTTCTTGGTGGTAGGAGGTCCCTCTCCTCTCCGATCACTTCTGTCTTTTATATCTCAAAAGAGATTGACTCAAGATACAGCCTAATCCTGTGGATTGTGTCCTGCCTTATTAACATAACTGCCTCTAATTCTGCCTCATTAAAATCATAGAGGTTAGGATTTCCAACACTTAAGATAATCACATCAGATCACAACCACACCATGCTGGCAATCATGGCCTAGCCCAGTTGACACACATTTTGGGGGGACACAATTTAATCTATAACAATGGCTTACATTAATTTTCAAATAGTGAACCAGCCTTGCATACCTGGAACAAATCTCACTTGGTCATGGTATATAATTCTTTTCATACATCGTTGAATTTTATTTGCTAATATTTTCTTGCAGATTTTTCCATCTATGTTCACAAGAGATACCAAACTGTAACTGTCCTTCCTGGTAATGCCTTTTTATGTTTTTGGTATTTTTGTTCTGAGTTTCTTGGATCTGTGGTTTGGTGTCTCTCAGTAACTCTGGAACATTCTCAGCTATCATTATTCAAATATATCTTCTATTCCTTTTTCTCCTTCTGGTATTCCCATTATGATATGTTCCCAAAAAATCAAATCTATTGCTGTTCAGTTGATTCCAACTCATAGCGACCTTATAAGACAGAGTAGAACTGCCCCATAGGATTTCCAAAGCTGTAATCTTTATGGAAGTAGACCACCACATCTTTTCCTGTGGAGTGGCTGGTGGGTTCAAACAGCCGACCTTTCAGTTTGCAGGTGAGCACTTAACCGCTTCGCCATCAGGGCTCCACCTTTTGTAATTGCCCCACGGTTCTTGAATAGTCTCTTCCATTTTTTAAATTCTTTTTTCTCTTTGCCTTTCCGTTTGGGAAGTTTCTATTGATATATCTTCAAGTTCACTGATTCTTTCCATCAGTCTACTGATGGTCCATCAAGAGCATTCTTCATTTTTGTTATAGTGTTTTTTATTTCTAGCATTTCCTTTTGGGCAAGCTGTGGCTTAATCAGGTTGAAAAGGGAGCATCAGACACATTGAGTTTGAGATGCTTTTAGACATCCGTGGAGAGAACATTAAGTAGGTGGTAGGATTCATAAGTCTGGAACTCCAGGGGAGGTGTTGGCTGAAAATGTCAATTTGGAGATCACCAGGCTGTCGAGGTTGTTTAAAGTTCTGAAGCTGAATAAGATCACCAAGAAGTGACTGTAGATAGAAAAGGAAAGCCATTTCTTTGGTCACTCCACCATGTGAGGTTGGAGAAGGAGGAGGAACAAGGAGGCACCACGAGTAAGATGGACGATGACTGGGAGGGAGCATGTCCTGGATGCCACTTCCAGAAAGTGTTCCAAGGACATGAGCGTGCTCAACTGTGTCTCAAAGGTCAAGTAACGTGAGGACTGAGCACCGGCCTTCGGGGCCCAGCAACTTGCATCTTTACAAGGCCTCCAGGGGATTCTTCTGGGCAATAACATTCGAGAAGCACCACACTGGAAGAGTGGTAGGGAAGGAGCAGGTGTATGAGTTTCGCAGGGCTGTCGTAACAAAGCACTACAAAGCAGGTGGCTTGCGAGAACAGAAAAGTATTGTCTCACCGTTTTGGAGCTGGAAGTCTGGCATCCAGGACGAGGTCACCCTCTACCCTACAAGCCTGGAAAAGGGGGCTGGAGTGTTTGAGGAACACCACCGTCTCAGCTCCTGGTTTTGCTCTTGCTCACCCCTTGGCGTGAGCCCAAGATGCCCATGTTGGGGTCTCCAAGGGCTTTCTCCACCCTGCCCCAGCCCTCCCACATCTGCCCTTTTCCAGACCACAGCCCAATGTGGGGGCTTCCCATCTGGCCAGGGGCTTCCCATCCACTTGCGACCTTCAGTGTCCTCTACCTTGCCAGGCCTTTTGCTCAGAACCGAGGGGTCAGGCCAGCATGGGGCCAAGAGGACAGTCCCCTCCCCGGACGTGCCTCCTCTGGACGTACACCTGGCCAGCACTGGGGTTTGTGGCGGGAACTCCCATTAACAAAGGAATTACAAACAAGCAACAAAAAAAGCAGGTGCCTCAAGAGTCAGGAAATGCGGACGAGGAAGGCTGGGCACTAAACGCAAAGGAGAAATCACTCCAGGGCAGCTGTGGGCACTGGTGGGGACCTTCCCCACAGAGGACGCTCAGCACCCGGCACAGAGCACAGGGGACCACCAGGGGAGGGTCCCGAAGCAGACACTGGTGCCTGACCTAGAGGGGCCGGGAGAGAGCCTGCCCGTTGCTGTCAAGGGCTGGGGACCAGAAATGTAAATTGATGCAGGAGGCTTGGGGGAACCTGTTGCCCCAGACCGCACTGGGCCAAGGTGCTGAGTCAGCAGCAGGACCCAGGCACCAGCTGGGAGGCGAACCTGGGCCTGGCTGAGCCATGGACACGGGCTCCTGGGGCAGTGCTAGTTTAACTGACACCCTCCCCCTCTGTTAAGACCTCTGCACACAGATGAGGAGCCTGTGCTGGGGGGCTTCCATGCTTGAAGCCCACCAGGCAGCCAGGGCCTCCTTGGTCTACACCTGCCCTTCCTCTAACCCCCACCTCCACTTGACCCCGGGCTCCGCAGCCTCTTCCCCTGCCCGGGCTTTTGCCCTTAGGGTTAGCGCCTGCTGTCTCTAGGGTGGAATCCTGGCTCAACTCAACGGATCTGCCACTCTGTTCTCACCCTTAGGACTTGGGAGGGGTCTCCCGCCCCACCCCCAAACCAAAAACCAAACCCATGGCCGTCAAGTTGATTCTGACTCATAGTGACCCTACAGGACAGAGTAGAATAGTCCCATAGAGTTTCCAAGAAGCAGCTGGTGGCTTTGAACTGCCAACCTTTCGGTTAGCAGCCAAGTTCTTAACCACTGTGCCACCAGGGCCTTCCTGCCTGCTTGAACACAGGTTGCAGTCCTGCCCGGTGGCCCACTTGGCCCGGAGGCTGTGCTTGCTCTTTGTCCTCAGCTGAAGGCCCACCCCAGTGGTCAGCAGATGCTGGCTGGATGGACAACGACGTGACCAGATCTCTCTCAGCCACCTGTCCCTGCCACGGGCACAGGAAGCAGGACCAGGAAGTAAGTACACGAAGGTTGAAAGGCAGGACAGATGCAGGGGAGGCATTCAACAGGCTGTTGTGCAGAAAACAGGTAGGTGACTCCTGGGTCAGAGGGCATCTGATAGCATGCCATTCCAGTTGTCCTGAGTCTGCCCCTTATAGCCCTGCCCACTCATGGGCCCTGCTGGTCTCTGGTGGGCCAGCTCTTGAGCCTGAAGTTTGTGGACCCCATGTATGAGGCCAGCATTCTCTTGTGACATGGCCTTCCAGATGCACAGTGAGGCAGCATGACTCCACATCCCCCTGCCCCGCTGAGAGTGCAGAAAGAGAGAGGAGGTGTGGCCTGCTCGGTGGGAGGGAGTCTGCTGCAGGATTAGGTGTCAGGTGAAAGCAGGGAAACCACCAAAGTGTCCACTAACAGTGGATGGTTAGAAACACCTCCGTGGATGGCTCCCAGGAGAAAGGTGTGGCAGCCGTGCACCGACCTGGACAGGTGTCTGTGATTCGTTGTTAAGACGAGGAAAGCAAGTCAAAGTTCAATATGTACAGAGTGATCCAAACATTGTGAAGAGAAAAAAGAAGAGAAGAAAATCTCTCCATTTGGAAGGATACCTAACAGGTGTGAGCCCTGGGGCAGTAAGAAGGGGGTTTCCTGTTTAATCCGCCCACTTAATATGGTCTGAAAGTTAATAATATACATATATTCATTTCTATATTAAAAATAGGAAGTAAAACATAATGGAAAAATAGCAGTCACAATACCAACCCAAACATCAGATAATTAAAAATAAAGATAATGAGAAAACTACAGTGCCCATGTTTTTTTTAAAAAAAAGATGAACTAGAAAGATATACCATACTCCTGGATTGAAAATCTTAATTGCATTTTTAAAAGTTAGTTCTCCCTTAATTAATCTATAAATTTAATGTGTTTCTAATCAAATTACCAAAAGGATTTTTCCAGAACTTGATTCTAATGTTCTTTTTGAAGATGAATGAACAAGGTGAGATTTTTTTAAGGCTATCCTGCCACACCAGACACTTAAATACACTATAAAGCTACAATAAGTGTAACAGAAAGTCTGATTCAAAAACAGACAGATCACTGGGGTAAAAGCCAAAGCTCAGAGAGCAAGGCAATTGCTCCTAAGAATTCATCATGTGATAAATACATCATTCTGAATATAGGGGGGAATCGATAGATTATTCAATAAATGGTCTTTGGACAGCTAGCTCATCATTTGCAAACATCATAACAAATACAAAAAAGTTCCAGCTGAAGTAAAGCTATAAGTAGAAAAAATGAAATAAAATACTAGAAGAAAATAAAGGGGAATGTTTATATCATCCTGGAGGAAGAGGGGAACTTTTAAACTATGATACAAGAAGTGTAAACCATAAAAGAAAAGGTTAAAAGACTGATTTAATAATGCAAAGTGTTTGTATATAAAATACAAAAATGAGGATAACAAGCTGGAGAATATTTGCAACTTATACATGAGGGTTATGTAAGAGTTAAACTCTTTAATATATAAAGAGTGCTTTCAAATCAATAAGAAAAAGATATCTATGAGTTAAAAAGAAAGAAAAAGAACTTGTACACCAGTGTTCATTGAAGCAATACTCACAGCAGTAGCCAAAATGTGAAAACAACCCAAGTGTCAGCAACAGATGAATGGATAAACAAAATGTGGTATACCCAAACAATAAGAATTATTCAGTCATAAAGAGAAATGAAGTCCTGATACATGCAACAACTTTGAAAACATTAGAGTGAAAGAAGTCAGACAGAAAAAGACAAATCTTGTATGATCTCACTTATATGAAGTATCTAGAATAGGCAAATGCATAGAGATCAAAGTTTATCAGTGGTTACCAAGTGTGGAAGGGAAAGGGGGAGTCATTGCTTAGGGGGCACTGAGTTTCTGTAAATGGTGATGGAATAATTTGGAAACATTTAGTGGCTATGGTTGTACAACATGATGAACATAAATCAATGTCACTGAATTGTACCTGTAAAAAAAAGGTGAATTGTCAAATGTTTTGTTATATATATGTTCACCACAGTAAAACAATTTTTCAAAAAGAAAGTAATAGAGAGGAGAAACCTAATTTTCATAAGTTTTATTCCACAACTCAATAGCATCAGGAGCTGTATCTCCTTTGTGCCTTTTGAATATTGCATTACAAAGCTGTATAATCTATACACAAATAATAAAACTGACACTTCATGGAACACAATTTTATACCTAGTGTTTATAACGTAACTTAAAGGGAATACTGTTTGCCTAAATGGGTTTGGGGGAAGTGGTGGGTGAAATAAATTAAGCAAACCTGTTATTGCCAGAGTTCTTGGGGACTTTACTGCAGTGATGGAAATTGTATGTCTCCAAGCAGGGTACTCAGACAAATTTGACCAGGCAGCCTGGTTCTCACCGCTCACCTGTGCCTGAGCCAGATTGGGATCCAGATTGGGTGCTATCAAAGGCAGGTAATTCTATGATGGGTATTTTAATGAACCTCATTTAGCAGGAGGGAAGACACAGCAGTCCCTCGTTTTAGCCAGGAGAGGGGGATGTTTGGTTATGTTTGTAGGTGGCACGGTCACCTCGGGGATTTTTTTGTACTTACTTTCTCTCACTCCATCAAGGTCACAGAGTGTCCTTATTTGATGTCGGTGATTGGTGAAAGGTTTATGACCCACAGGAAAACACCAACACTCAGCGAGTGAGGGACCAGCCACCTCTAGCAGCACCAGCTCACATGGTCCACACTTTATTCAGAGTTCCTCAGTTGTTGCCTCTTGTCCTTGCTCTGTCCCAGGGTCCCAGCCAGGACACCACATCACATGTAGTTGTCAAGCCTCCTCAGGCTCCTCTGGGCTGTGACAGTTTCTCTCAGACTTTTTGTTTTGATGACCTTGACAGTTTTGAGGAGCCAGTCAGGTATACTGTAGAGCTTCCTTCTGTTGGGGTTTGTTCGATGTTTTTCTCATCACTAGACTGGGGTTATGGGTTTGGGAAGGACGATCAGAGAGGTGAAGTGCCCCTATCATCTCATCATATCCAGGGTTCATGCCATCAGCATGACTGTCACTGTGGATGTTGACCCTGACCATATGGCTGAGGTGTGTTTGTCAGGTTTCTCTGCAGTAAACTGACTTTCCCCGTTCTGCTCCATCCCCCCCAGCGCCTCCTCCCCATTCCACCACATCTATCCTCACCCAGAACGACCCCTTCACTGAGCTCCCCAACTTCTACCTCCACCTAACACTGAGTGTGACCTTCTCCCCATTCCACCCCAAATTCCCTAGGCACTGAGTGTTCCCTTGCACCCTTCTCCTTGACCCCCCCACCCCAAATTCCCACTCCAGCGGAATCCGGCACTGAGCTTTCTAAGCCCCTACTCACATTAAACCCACTCCCTCACCACCCCTACCTTAGCCCTGAGCGGTTCTCCCCTGCCCTGAGTGCCCCCAGAGCCTCTCACCCCATCCCCCTACTACCACATGGGTGCCTCTTCTCCCCCTGCCCCACCCCCGCTGAGTGCCTCTCCTGTCCCCTCCTCCTCGGCCCGCCACCTCTACCCCAGCCCTGAGCTCTTCACCATTGAGCTCTCTAACTCCCACCCTGCCCTGAACGCCCCTCACTGAATCCCTGGACGCCCACCTCCACTCCCCACTCTGAGCGCCGCCCCCGCCCCCTTCCCCGCCCCCGCTTCCCCCGCGTTAGCGCCCACGCACCTCCAAAACTGCGCCCCACCCAAGTGCTCCTGTCTGCCCACCCCAGACGTCCCTGGGCCTTCTGGCCTGGACCGCTTTCCTTGTGGTCCTTCCCGCTTTCTAGGAGGCGCTGTCCCCTGTCCCATGGCCCTGCCTTCCCCGGGGTCCCTGAGCCTGGAGCCGCTGGAGGGCCCTGACCCGGAGCCCAACTCCGCCAGTGGTCTGGACAGCCTGGAAGAGGAGCAGTGGGGACCTACCTGTGACATCCGTGAGCCCATTTTCCCTAGCCATCCCTGCCTTTGAGGGGAAGGGCATGGGGGGGGGAATGTCATCTCAGTAGGTTCTTTGCTGAGGACTCAGTGACACTGTAAGATGTGGGCATATGTGTTGCCACTGAGTGGGCCTCAGCTGCAGGAGAATGCAAGGGCTGCGGTGAACTCCACCCCTCCTGAGCCCCCTCTCCTCCCCTTTGTGGGGACACTGTGGCAGGGCCTGGGTGGGCAGGAAGTGATGGGATCAGCAGCAAGCCTCACACAGGGGTCCCATGCACCCCTCCCACCACTGACTCCCCCAGCCTTCTTCCTGCCCCTCATCCATGGAGTCGGGAGGGGTGGGCATCACAGTGGGAGCCATGCCAGGGTAGGGGCTGAGCTGGGTACTGTCTGCTGAGTCCCTCAGCTAGGGTGCACCAAGCTCCCAGACAGAAGCTGACAGGTCATTTTCTTCCTCTGTGTGTATCCTGTATCCGTGTCCCACATGGCGCCCGGGGCGGTTGTCCTGCGTGGCCCCCATCATTGTGGCTTGTTGACCCCTGGCCCTGACCAGTGCTGGACCTGGAGGGAGAGCAGAGCATGGATGTGATCCTGGTGGGCTCCAGCGAGCTGTCGTGTCCTCCGTCACTTCAGCCCAGCAGAGGTGGGTTCCCCACTTCTCAGACCCCCATGCAAGATGTTGGACCTGCCTGGGCAAAGTCTAGAGCTTCAGGCTTCTGGACTATTCTATGTCATTCAGGCATCCTGGGCAGGAAGGGTTGGATTAGATCCTACAGTTCTTGGGACTTAAGATGATATGCTGGTAATGGTCACTTCTTGGGAAACAGGAGGAAGAACGAAGGTGCTCTTCTCATTTTCTTTTCTAGATCTTATTGCATATGAAGTCAGGGTCAAGCAGCGACACATAGAAGGTGAGCGGTTACCCACTAGCCTATGACCAGGCAAGTGGGAATATTGGCTTCAGCGTCAACACACAGTCATCCCTAGAAGAAGGCAGCAGATACCCCTGGTACTCTGCTTGTATCCCCTCTGTCTATCCCAGGCTTCCCACGGCTTCATTCAAGCATGTGATCCAATGGTTGTTAGTATGTTTACAGAGTTTTGCAACCATCACCACGGCCTAATTTGAGAACATTTTTATCACCCCAAAAAGAAACCCTATGCCCATTAACAATCACACCCTTCTCTCTACCTCTCCTCCTTCAACCCTCCACCACCACCACTAGTTGCCATCAGATTGACTCTGACTCATGGTGACCCCATGTGTGTCAGAGTAGAACTGAGCTCCATAGGGTTTTCATTGGCTGATATTTCAGAAGTAAATCACCAGGCCTTTCTTCTGAGGTGCTACTGGGTGGACTCGAACTTCCAACCTTCTAGTTAGCAACCTAGGCAACCACTAGTCTACTCTCTCTCTATGGATTTGCCCATTCTGGATCCCTTGCACTTCCACTTGAATTTTAGGATCAGCTTAATTTCTGCAAAAGAGTTAGCTGGGATTTTCATAGGGTTTAGTAGATCAATTTGGGGAGTACTGCTATTTTAATATTGTTTTCTGATCCATGAACATGGTATGTCTTCCATCTATTTAGATTTTTAGCATGTTTGTAGTTTTCAGTGCACACTTCCTTGGTTAAATCTATTTCTAAATAAGGTCCCTGGGTGGTGCAAATGATTAAGCACTCAATTACTAGCTGAAAGGTTGGTGGTTTAAACCCACTCAGACGCGTCTCAGAAGACAGGCCTGGTGATCTATTTCCAAATGGTCACAGACTTGAAAACTCTATGGAGCAGTTCTACTCTGCACACATGGGGTTGCCATGAGTCAGAATCACTCAGTAACAACTAACAACAATTCTTAAGTATGTTATTCTTTTTGATGACGTTGTAATATGCATTGCACTTTGAATGTTCATGTTAGACATCTGCATCTGCTGTGGGAGTTTCCAGGTCTGGACAGAGCATCCTCTGTTTGAGGGAGGAATGTGCGCTCCATGTAAGGTAAGCAGGAGGCACGGTGGCTTCATTATGGCCTCCAAGCAAAGAGGGGTGCAGCCAGTCATGCTTTCCTCTTTGCCCAGGGCAAGTTCCTGGACTCTGTCTTCTTGTATGATGATGATGGATACCAGTCCTACTGCTCCATCTGCTGCTCGGGCGAGACCCTGCTCATCTGTGAAAACCCCGACTGCACCCGGTGAGGCTTGGGGCACCCACCCTCATCATTATGAAACCTCACACCCCACGGCTGACTCGACAGCACCTCACAAAAACAATGACAACAAACTTGTATGATTTTCCCCTCTGGTTCCAAAAGAAAAAACAAAAAAAACCAAACCAGTTGCCGTTAAGAGTAGACTCACAGCAACCCCATGTGTGTCAGAGTAGAACTGTGCTCCATACGGTTTTCAGTGGCTGATTTTTCAGAAGTAGATCATCAGGACTTTCTTCCTAGACACCTCTGGATGGGTTCAAACCACTAATCTTTCCTCCCATGGTCACAAGGTGGCTGGAGGGAGAGGAGCAAAAAACCCAGTGACCACAAATCTAGAAATCTCCCATCTTTCTCATTTACTGAGCCCAAGGTGTGGGAATTCTCTCCAAAAAAGAATGATTCGCTCCCAAGCATTCAATTTCCTTCTCAACTATTACACTGGGCACAGAGCTTGGACTTATGAGAAGTGAGGTAGCAAAGGGTTTGTATTTGTGATTATTTTTCTTCTTATTATCATTATCACCAAGACACAGCTGCTCCCTCAACATTATGAAGTCGAGTGATGGAAACCTCACACCCCACGGCCAGGGGATGAGCAAAGGGCATATTCATCCCTCGGTTATTACACACTAACCTGAGCCCCATCTGTGGTGCCTGCCACCTGGTGCCTGTCCCTTCTGCCTTTGGTCTTTCTAGGTCATTCTTGTATTTAGGGCTCCCCCATCTCCAAAATTCTGTCCCCCATCTGAGTGCTCCTGCATCCGGTTTTACTGGGAGTCCTTAAGCTGTTTCTGCAAGCTTCAGAGTTTGGGAGGGAAGACAGTGGTTTAAAGGATTTTTTGAAATCCACCATTGCCCATAAATCCTATCTCTTTGTCCCCCTGTGTCTTGGCTCCTATCACTCTAAGCTTCCTAGCACATGGGGACAGGCACTGATAGGCCAGCCTGGTCTTTTTAAATGAACCCTGAGTGGGATTTCTGTTGTTCACTCTAAAGCAAGAGGGAGCCCTGAGGTTTCATCGGTGACCAAAGAAACCCCATGTCAATAACTGTGGCTTTCTGTTTGAGTCTAGATGCTACTGTTTCGAGTGTGTCGATACGCTGGTCAGCCCTGGGACCTCGGGGAGAGTGCAAACCATGAGTAACTGGGTGTGCTTCCTGTGTCTGCCCTTCCCCAGAAACGGGCTGCTGCAGAGAAGGAAGAAATGGCGGGCACGGCTGAAGGCCTTCCAGGACCAGGAGGCGGTAAGGAGTGGGCAGCATTTGGTCTTACAGAACAGAGCAGAAGTGGAGCAGAAACTTCCTGCAACATTAATAGATCTAAAGGCACTGAGAAGAAATGCCTGGTGATCCACTTCTGAAAACCAGCCAATGGAAACCCTATGGATTAGAACAGTCTGATGCGCAACTGATCGTGGAGATGGTGCAGGACCAGCAGTGTTTTGTTCCATTGTGTATGGGGTCACCATGGGTCGGGGCTGACTCGACAGCACCTCACAAAAACAATGACAACAAACTTGTATGATTTTCCCCTCTGGTTCCAAAAGAAAAAACAAAAAAAACCAAACCAATTGCCGTTAAGAGTAGACTCACAGCAACCCCATGTGTGTCAGAGTAGAACTGTGCTCCATACGGTTTTCAGTGGCTGATTTTTCAGAAGTAGATCATCAGGACTTTCTTCCTAGACACCTCTGGATGGGTTCAAACCACTAATCTTAACCATTTATGCTTAACCATTTGTGCTATGCAGGGACCCCTTCCTTCTGGTTCCTAGTTGCAAAATGCTCATTTACTTTGATACACGATGACATTAAAGGCTTTTAAGTAAATGCTGTTTGTCATTCCACTCTGCAATCTGCTTTTAACAGTTACTTTGGCATGGCAGTTGCGTTTCTTACAAGCCTGGGAATGAGGCCCTTCTAGAGGTTGGCTGGCGAGTCCCTGTGTGTCCCTACATCCAGAAAATGGAAGCTTGTCTAAAGAAAGTCAAGGCAGCGGGGCAGAGCCAGCATCTCCTGGCCTAGCCAAGGCAGCAGCAGAGGCCTCCCATGGTCACGATCAGGAGCTAGCAGGAGCTGTGGGCCCATCAAAGTGTAGTGGGTTGAATTGTGCCCCTCAAAATGATATGTTCATGTCCTAATGGGTACCTGTGAAAGTGACCTTGTTTAGAAAGAGGGTCTTTGCAAATGTGATCAAGTTAAGGTTCTTGGGATGAGACCGTCCTGGATTTAGAGTGAATCCTAAATCCAGTGACTGACATCCTTGTAAGAGAAAGGAGAGGAGATTTGAGGCACAGAGACACACCCAAAGAAAGTGATGTGAAGATGGAGGCGGAGAATGGAATGATGCCTCTACAAGCCAAGGAACACTAGGAGCCACCAGAAGCTGGGATACACGCCTGGAATAGATCCTCCCTCAGAGCCTCTGAAGGAATCAACATGTCTGACACCCTAACCATGGACTCCCAGCCTCCAGAACCTTGAGACAATAAATTTCTGTCTTATAAGCCACCCAGTGGGTGGTACTTTGTGATGGCAGCAATGTGTTTATGCTCGAAAAGGTGCTCTTAAGGTACTTTTCTGAAAACAAGGTGACTTCCTTATAGACTGTCCTTCTCAGGTACACTAATGGCAGAAACTGTAAATCTCAGTGCAAGAAAGAACCCTATGCTTGAAAGCTGCAGGAGGAGCTTCACTTCAGAAGGGAATTAAACTATTAAGAAATGTTGTTAACAAATAAGGGGGACTAAAAAATGTAGTCAGATCTTTCCTATGGAGAGGAAGTTAAGGCGACATAAAGAAATAAAAGATTGGTTTAAACTTAGAAAAATAGGGGTTAATATTAAGGTAGCCACAAAGGAACCTAACAATTCTACACATCAAAATAAAAAACAAGAAAAACATAAAGACTCAGCAAATACAAAATCAACGACAATGAAAAAGATGAGGAGAAAATACATAAAGAAAAGCAACTCAGCACAGAAAATTAGGTGGAATGAAGAAAATGTCAACATCACACACAAAAAAAAAGACATCAAAATGACAGCACTAAACTCATACCTATCAATAATTACGTTGAATGTAAATGAACTAAATGCACCAATAAAGAGACAGAGAGTGGCAGAATGGATTAAAAAAACACGATCCGTCTATATGCTGCCTACAAGAGACACACCTTAGACTTAAAGACACAAACAAACTAAAACTCAAAGGATGAAAAAAAATATATCATGCAAACAACAATCAAAAAAGAGCAGAAGTGGCAATATTAATCTCTGACAAAATAGACTTCAAAGTAAAATTCACCACAAAGGATAAGAAAGGACACTATATAATGATGAAAGGGTCAATACACCAGGAGGACATAACCATAATAAGTATTTACGCACCCAATGACAGGGATCCGAAAGACATAAAACAAACTCTAACAGCACTGAAAGAGAGATAGACAGCTCCACAATAATAGTAGGAGACTTCAACACACCACTTTCAGTGAAGGACAGAACATCCAGAAAGAAGTTCAATAAAGACATGGAAGATCTAAATGCCACAATCAACCAACTTGATCTCATAGACATATACAGAACACTCTACCCAACAGCAGCCAAGTGTACTTTCTTTTCCAATGCACATGGAACATTCTCCAGAATAGACCACATATCAGGCCATAAAGCAAGCCTTAACAGAATCCAAAGCATTGAAATATTACAAAGCATCTTTTTCCCCCCATAAAGTCATAAAAGTAGAACTAAATAACAGAAAAAGCAAGGAAAAAAAAATCAAACACATGGAAATTGAACAACACCTTGCTCAAAAGCTACTGGGTTTTAGAAGAAATTACGGATGGAATAAAGAAATTCACAGAATCAAATGAGAATGAAAACACATCCTACCATAATCTTTGGGACACAGCGAAAGCAGTGCTTAGAGGTCAATTTATAGCAATAAATACACACATCCAAAAATAAGAAAGGGCCAAAATCAAAACATTAACCCTACTACTTGAACAAGTAGAAAGAGAGCAGCAAAAGAAGCCCTCAGGCATCAGATGAAAGCAAATGATAAAAATTAGAGCAGAATTAAAGGAAACAGAGAACAGAAAAACAATGGAAAGAATTAACAAGACCAAAAGCTGGTTCTTTGAAAAGATCAACAAAATTGATAAACCATTGACCAAACTGACAAAAGAAAAACAGGAGAGGAAGTACATAACCTGAATAGGAAATGAGATGGACGATATCACAACAGACCCAACTGAAATTAAAAGAATCATAACAGAATACTATGAAAAATTGTACTCTAACAAATTTGAAAACCTAGAGG